CGTAGATAGACCGGTAGATTAGAATAGACGTTGGGAAATTTAGTAACGTTTAATAGAGAAACCGCATAGAGACTGTAGATTAGATTCATCAGTTACAAGGCAAAACGTCTGGAATTCCGCCTGTTATGTGTGAATTAACCGTCCAAAACCGGATTAGCGTGATCATCGGTTGATTACCAGATATTTTAGTAGCCCCCTGCGCCCTGCTGAAAAGGTAGTAAGGCGTCAAGGCAGCTATTCTGAGCTTCTTGAAGTCACAGGTTCTGCCGAGATTGTGCCGCGATAGTACCACCTGCACATCTTCAGACCTCAGTTGTCTTTTTCTGCTCAGGCCATAGCCAGCAGCATTGGATTTCTTTGCGGCGTTTACCGTCTATTAATTTGTTGGTTTGAACCTTGCGAGGCTCAACTCATGAGCTGCTGATCACGTCGAACTCGATGCGATCGAGCTCAATTCCACGGTATGCCGGCCCGGGTCTTCAAGGCTCCGTCGAAAGATGCCTTGATCTATCTCCGAAACATCGTCCTCTTTAGCTCGGCTGCCACCGTTGCCGGCGGCGCGGCGGTTCATGTCTACAATGACTTTCGTCAGATCAAAGAACTCCGTCACCGGATCGAGCGAACGCATCAGGTCAATTCGTTGCTCAGGCATTTCTCCGCGGCCGCCAACGATGTCTACATCCCGAAGGACAAATTTATTCTCGATTGGGAGGAACAGCATGGACCGATTGGGCCGAAGAAGAAGAGGAAGAGGAAGGACAAAGATCGAAAGGGGGTGAAGGAGGAGAGCCCAACGAGATCTTCGGAAAAGAAGGGACAAGACACGAGTACGGCCCAGAGAGGGAGACCTCGCCCACTACTTGCAAGGTGGCTCGGACACCATACCCCATCTCATTTCGACCCCATCCCAAGAGGACTGTTCAAGAACGCACAATGTCGACATATGTTCACTTCCGGGGGGCAGGCTGTAGCGATGGAGAAGACAGATCTGAGCATACTCCAGTTTCACGACAGTTTACCAACGCCTATGGAAGATTTCGAGGCAGCCTTCACTTGGGCTAGTCCTGCCAACACAGTGAACCACCCAACGGGCACCTCTAAAGCCAACGCTGAGCTCTCGACATCTATTCAAGAAGAGGTTCTACACGGAGATCAATCCGAATCTGATGAGGTCTCTGTTGCTTTGCACGGCATCCAAACTGCACTAAAAACCGTAAGACCTTGGGCGACCATTGGTGCAATCTTACACAACCTCCCTCCGGAGGCGAGATGCAAGTCAGTATGGTTGCAACCGAGGATTTGGTCATATCTTGCACAACATCAAGCCAAGGATGCTCCGGACGACCCCGAACCAAGCGCAACATCGCTTTTCCAATATGCGGAGGCATCGGACGAGCTTGCAAAGAATTTCACAACGTTATTCGTTCACGAGGAATTTGATATAGTTCTTCCGCGATTGTTCATCTCCGAACTGTTAAGCAGACTAGGTGGCCCCATACATGGCCCTGACAGATTTGCTGCTTGGCGCAACGTGTCTCCTATCCTTTCTTGGCTACATCAGAAGGGCATGCTCGATTCGCGATTAAAGACGGAGTTCTTCCTAAGATGGGTCAAGAATGAATCTCTGTCGGATCACACTGTCCGAGAGCGATACGAGCTATTTTCAGGATGGGCAATGCGAATAGACCCTAATCATAAAGCAACGGATTATCTTATGGCCGTTCTGGAACGCATGATTCGTTCCGAGCCGCTAGCGGAGAGCTTCTCCTGGCTCGAAAAGATGTTCGATCCGGCCACACTCACTTGGACTTGGATGACAGCCATCACGTCACATACCAGGTCATTACTGGACGAAGGCAACGTCAAGCAGGCACTAGACGCCTTCGCTTCAGGGGCAAATCAACTTCACCGCGAACTACTCCAGACTATCGCAGCAGGGTCTCCGGGAGCATGGATTGACACGATTTCGCTTCTCCTCGACTCTGCGATCGGACGGGCAAAAGTTTCGAGGGAGCAGGAGAGCGTTGAGCTGTCTCTTGTCATTGCTTCTATGCTTTGTCGGACAGGCGCCATCGATCCTGATTGGGACCAGCTGGAATCCTTGTTAAGGCCTACCGTGGCTAGAAAGGCTCTGCTCACGTATCTGCAATATTTGCCCGACCAGGTCGAGCCTTCTTTGCAGATGCAAGCGCTTGCTCGGAGGATTGACCATGCGGCTCTGCATCTACCTGCTGGACCAATGACCCACAAGCAACTGTTTTCGTATATGAGGAACGCTTTCATCAGCCAGTCGCCCGTGGAAACAATCTTGGATTATATCCGCAGCCTAAGACCAAAGTTCTCATCGACCGGTGGTTGGGCCGTGGCATGGCATAAAGCTCTCTGTATGAGCGCGGCGTCGCCTTCTATTTTCGCGTTGTTCGACCAACTCATTCAAATTCCTGTCCCCCTCACTGAGACCGAAGCGCGAAGCTGCCAGAGACTCCAAGCGCATTTCCTCCAACTGTCGTGGGAGACCAAGGGCGACGTTCGCTCGGTATGCGCCACATTTGAGCACATGACAAAATACTCGGACAAATCGATCGGCCCCGTCCTATCCGACCGGTTCGTGTGGATAATCGGTCGTGCGCAAGACTGCGGAGAGATGGCGCGATACCTCCAGCTCCCTAATATTCAGATATATCCCTCCACAAGACCTCTCCAAATTGTCGCGTTGGCGAAGAAAGGGGACTGGGAAAGCGTGGCGCGATTGACTGAAATGCCCCAGGTCTCAGATCTCGACCGGGAGACCGCATCCCAGTTGTTACGAGACCTCTCCCGGCAACTTTGCAAACAATTCGATGTGGATTGCGCCTTCAGCGTTTGCCAAAGCTTAATCGAGAGTATGCATCTTCCCCCTTCCCCGGAAGCACTTGCAAATCTTATGGAAAAGGCTTTGTCAGACGACAAGCCTGGCTTGATCAAAGACATGCTCAAAGAGTTCAAGAGACACCGGGAGCCCATCGATGACGCTGTGAAGGGCAATATCATCCAACCCTTCATCAAATGGGCTCATTATTACATGCCTAATGTGGCTCTTGTGCAAGAATTCGTGGCTATTCTTCACGAAGACCATCCAAAGTCGGTTTCCAAGAACTTCGCACGAGTTGCTATCAATGTGCTGAGAAGAGAAGCCAGAAGCGCTTCCCGTCTGCTCCATATGATACAAGTTGAAGGCAGCTCCAGTCCGTTGCTGGAGAAATTAGAGCTGATGGCAAAGGATACCGTCGAGGCAGCTCAACGTAGCATGAGGAACGTCGAACAGATGAAGACGTATTTTCCTACGGCCGATGAACGGCGGCGGAGAGCAGCTTTGATCAAAGATTCGCCTGCCGTTAGTATTCGTGATCGACGACGCATGGATCGATTGATATATGACGCACAGCACTATGGCGAACGGGGGGATGCAGCTCGACTGTTCCAAAAGTTCATGGACCAAGGGATCGTCGTGTCCCGAACCGCTTTGAAGATTGCTATATCTGACCTGCTCACCTTGGGCAGCTACGGTGAAGCAAAGGCCTATTTACTCCTGAACGAAGTCGAAGCGCTTGGTCAGAGTGTCGACGCGAATCGATTGACGTTGCCTATCCACTCGGGACACTATAACCTTGAAGAAACCCCGGATATGGTGCTCAAGTACGTTGCCGAGTCCTGGAGAATCCGCAAGACCTACGACAAAGGTATCGTGGCCACCGGTGCTTCAAATCTCATCAGCAACGGTATGATCAAAGAAGCAATTGCCATGTTAGATACGGTGTACCACAATTACCCCTCGTCGCGGCCTGCCCTCGTGATGATGACGCTGTATGCCATTGCATTCTCTAGGATCGGCAGTATGAAAGGCCTCCAGTGGGTCGTCAACACCGTCCTCGACAAGCGCGTCCCAGTCGACAACGAATTTTTGTTCGTCTTTGAGCAGGCAAGGCTCGCGTCGAGACCCGAGTCTATTGCAGCCCATCGGAAATTTAACTCGGAGGCCAGCGAATCATCCCTGCGGAGCAAAGGACGGGTCCTAGATGGCTGGATTGGGAAGATCATAGGGCGGATGAATGAACAGGCGAGGACAGCAGCGGAAGTCGCGAAGATCCTGCTCGATGATCACGTTCCGTCTGTCTTTGTCGACAAATTCGGTCGAGTCGACCTCTTGGAGTTTGATGAGGAACCACTACCCACTCAGCTCCAGCAAGAGACAAGGCAAGAGACGCAGCAATGGACAGAGCGCATTTTACGGCCACCGCCGGTCCCCGATGCTGTTCGGAATTTTGAAAAGGCGCGGGAATCTAAACTGATGCAGAGCTTCGGACTTGTACGGCGTTATGAAACGGAGGTCCGTTAAAGCAAGTTCGACGCAACGCTTTTCCATGCTGAACGAACAGTGGAAGTACTTTTATTTGCCAAGACCGTGCTTCAGGAGAACGGTTTGCATTCGTTTGATGTTTCGAGCCTAGGTGGGGCTTGACGCAGCAGCACACACCATCTCCTACTTTTATAGGCTAAACGCCTCGAATTAGTATGTACCCATGGTACATAAGAACCCATATTTAGATATGACGCCACAATGTGCCATCTTCGTCTCATTTTATCGTTGACCCTTTGCAAAAGTTCTTCTCAAACAATTGGATGGTACCTGAATCGCCAATCACGGAACACCTGTATCATCCAACTCATATCTAGACACGCCCACATCTCCCTGTCGGTACCCAAGCCATCACCGCAAACATCACTCTTCTCGGCCACCTCATCTCCCTCTCCCCATCCCCC